CTATTTTCGGAAACCCTCATATAATGTTCATGAGAATGGCCAACCAGGTTTAAGACTCATAACTGTACTGGCGCTCATTGTCGAAGAATCATCAGTTGCAGTAGCAGTCGTAGCACCGATACTGGTAACAACACTGAAAGTAGAATTATTATAGGGCCCTCAATAATTACAAGTTGCATTTTTGGTAGTTCTTCACTCTAACTACATTACAAAATATCCCGAAACCCTCTTCTAATTATTAAGGCCCCTACATCATAGAGTTTTTTGTAGTATCCCTTCTAAAGCCCCTTGATGGAAAATCCTTTAAAGGGAATCCTATTCTACTTATTAAGCCCCCTGTGTTGTAGAAACTTGGCACTCCCATCCCCTACGTTGGTGCCAGGCTCCATCATCCAGAACCGCCTCTATGGCTTCGAGATGGATGTGATCGTTCCGGCCATGTGCCCAGAGCTTCAGGGTGTAGGGTTTAGGATTTAGGGCTTGTTGAGTTTCAGGCTTTACGATCCAGGCGAATTTGCAGAGACAGTTTAGGGATATAGGTTTTGTTGGGTGATTTGGGGCCCAAGAAGCATCTGAAGCGCCTGTCCGAAACCTATGCTCGAGAGAGCCGCTGCACACATGGCAAGATCGCCTGAGTCTTGGGGGGGGGGGGNNGGGTTTTAGGGTTTGGGGTTTTCGGTTTAGGGTGCTTCTGAGCCAGAGGGGTCTTGTTGAATGTCATGCCGTGTCTAGTAGGGCCATTTCTGCTGTTGCCTCTTTGCTACATCGTTTCGTGGGCCGTCGTGATGGAGGGGCTCCAGGCAGCTTAGATTTGGGTGTTCTGGGATGGCGCCCGAAACGATACATAGACCCGGAAACCAAGGGCATGTACCTGGCGCAGAACCACTCAAGTGCGTACTGGCGTTTCGACATCAGCGTGGTCGCTTCTCGGCTTGTTTACAAAGTCTAGTCCCAGACTGTAAACCTTTTGATCACTTCAATGGCTCTCTGAGGAAGCACAGGCCAGAAACTCAAACTGTAGGCCCGTCCAAAACGCGTGCACTGCCTTAAGCTGAACCTCAAGTTCTTGCCTCCTAAGCCGATTCTGGGATCGGAGCGAGTTTCATCGAGTTCCCGCCTAGACCCTAAACCCCCAAACCCTAAACCCTGAACCCCAAACCCTAAACACTAGACCCTAAACCCTAAACCCTAAACCCTAAACCCTAAACCCTAAACCCTAAACGTTGAGGCTCAGAGAGTTGCCTCAACCAGTTTCTGAGAAGAGCCTTTGGGTCCGGAGTGATGATCATCAGTTTGGGTCTCAGGGTTCAGGGTTTAGGGTTTTAGTTTTCAGGGTTTAGGATTCAGGGTTTAGGGTTCAGGGTTTATGTTTCAGGGTTTAGGGTTCAGGGTTTAGGGTTTAGGGTTTGGGGTTCAGGGTTTAAGGCTAAGGCTTTCAAAAGGCACTTGCGGTAACGTTTGTTTGCACCTAGAGCTCGTGATATTCAGGTTGTGGAAGCTCCACAGCTCGACTATTGATGTTGAGGGTTTAGGGTTTAGGGTTTAGGGTTTAGGGTTTAGGGTTTAGGGTTTAGGGTTTAGGGTTTAGGGTTTAGGGTTTAGGGATGTTGAGGCTTTCACCATGGCCTGTTGCTTCAAGCTGG